TTAAAAATGAAAACAATTTTTGGGAAAACAAGGTCATGTGAAATTCAATGGAAACGTCAGCTTAACTCATGTCATTGTGGGAAAAGTCTTCTTCTACCAGTCCTTCATCACCTTAAACCAAATTGGGTGAATACATCTCATAATACTGATTTACTGGTAGTCACGAAAACAATACTTAATTCGAAAAATAATATACCAAAGCAATCGTAGGCATGAAGACAATATAGGTGCTCGTGTGCGTGTGTATAGGGTGGCTCATAACTCGCTTTTTTAACTTGGTCGAGGCGTCTGGGCGATCTCTAAGAAGGCAGCCTTACTGCATATACCGCCATGGTAGCCAGCCGTACATCTTCTACTTGATGCCTTGCCAGACGTTTCGCCTACCGCTCTGGTCGCTAATTTCGGTTGGAACTTTTACCCTCAGCACCGAGCATAGGCAATCCAATGTTAGTCAGTTGTGAGTACAGCGAACGTGGCATTCCTTCTTCCTATTCTCGACTAGTTGCTAACGCTGCAACCCCACTCCTCAATCTACTTGAGTATGGCTTATTTTACAATATGGGTTTCCAATACTCCCTTAGCGGATTGATATGACATGACTTTTCATTTCGAAAGAAATGTTGGTTGAAACGAATGGGCGAATTGGCCGCTCTGGAAACCGAGGCAGGATCGCTATGTAGTGGAGTGCAGAATTTTGCATTATAAATAGAATTCCTCATTTCTTTCACTTCATATTTTTGACTTTTATGAATCATCCTATTATTTTATTAGTTACTTCTTATTCGAGTAGAGTTTCGAGACTACCAGTAAATCAGTAGTATGAGATGCATTCACCCTATTTCGTTTAAGATAATGAAGGACTGGTAGTAGAATTTTCCCACAATCATATGAGTTGAGTTGACGTTTCCATTCAATTTTACATCTCATACTACTGATTTACTGGTAATCTCTAGACTCTGCTTATATACACAAAATATGTACCAAGATACAGCAATCCAATCCTGAACAAGTTTCCGTCCCACGATTGTGGTGTCCTTTCATCATAGTTCATTTAGCCAAATGTTCATATCTACGAACAACGATACAGCGATTTATCGTCATTTGACTTCATTTCAAAGAAAAGGTTGGTCGGAAGGAGTTCGGCGATTGGTTTTGCTAGAAAACTAAGGATGAGTGTCTGTTGGATCCTGAAAGCAAGTCTTAGGCAAGAAGTAACTAATATGAGATGTATTCACTCTATTTCGTTTAAGGTGATGAATTTTCTCACAATGTATACGTCAGCTCTACTTATATGATTGTGAGAAAATTCTACTTCCAATCCTTCATCACCTTAAACGAAATAGCGTGAATGCCTCTCATATTAGTTTCTTCTTGCGTAAGATTTGTTTGCAGGATCCAACAGTCACTCATCCTTAGTTTTTTAGCGAGACCAATTTT